AAATTCCTGCAACTGCTCATACAGGCGTTTATCTCAGTGGTGGTAATAGTGGTGTCTAATAAGCATTTGTCTAACATGTTACAGCTGTCCCTCCTCAAATGAAGGACTGGTTGAATGAAAATAGTGGAAATGTTGGTCTGTTTGGTTCCTCTCACTCAGCTTCTATAACCCTACTGCTTTCAGATGAAAGAACACTCTTGAGGCAGACCTGCTCTTAACAAGTACTTGGCTATTTTTAGCTTAGCCTCTTTACTTGTGTGTTCCCCCCCTCTTCCTTTCCTTTGCTCTGAACACAGCCAAAACTAAATAACGGCAAGAGCCTTCCTGGAGCCACTAGAACAGTTGTTTGATAAGCAGGCGGATGGGGATTAGGCACAACATTTTATGCAAGCTAAATATAGCCATATTGAATATCTCCAAGCAACTTATACATGAATGGCATGTGACATGGCCATCTGCTCAAACACACTACTTTAATCTAGTAAAGAACCTAAACTGGGGCTCATGAATTCATTAAAGCTCTACACAAGAGAATTACCTCCAGAAATCTTAAAACTGACAAGAGCTTCTCTCATACATCCATAACTCATATCTGACATTTTTCTAGACAAGGATGAAATAAAATGTTCACAAACTGCAAAACTGTGATCCCAATGTGAGCCAAAATTCATCATCGTTAGAAGGAGCTAAGCTTAGAAATTATAGTTTTACTTTTACCAGCTCAGACTGTTTTATCCCTTACCAGACAGTTTGAGACTGGTTTTACTTGTTTGTTTGTTTACTGCATAAAATCCCACTGAAATCCAAATCAACCTCAGGGGATACATGCCATCCTGGTACAGAAAGCACCAGCAAGAACAGTATGGGCATTTTTTTCCAAGCACAATGTTGTTTCCAGGCCTAGAGCAGTTGGTGCGAAGGCGATGATAGCTCAACTTCACAAGATCCGTTCCTGCTGTTGCCTCTGCCGAAATAAATTGTGTCACAACAAAATAAAAAAGAACAGGAAAAGGATACTCAGGCAAACTATCTCTTAAATCTTATTCTTCTCCCACTAATTCAGGCATAGATTTTGCTCCCTCACTTTCAGCAATCATCAGGGCTATGCAGGGCTGGGATTTTGACTCCTTGGACATGAGTAAAATGCTGTTGTCTGCAAAGCTGGGAAATAATTAAAGAGAAGCACCTTCCAGCATACCTATTATTCACCTTCCCTATAACTTAGGTGCTTCTCCCTGGGTTGAGCAGCTGTGGCCTTCAACGTATTTCGGTCATCAATGAGGATGCTGAAAATTGAAGCTCACACTCTCAGAGTATTGTCATTCTTGCCTGCAGGCTATAAGTAGCCTCCCACCACTCATTATTTTTGCAGCCCCCAGAACATTTTGGAGAGGGTGCGCCAAAATGCTTGGAGATTTTGGTGGGAAAGGGAGGCGGGACAGGGATAGTTTAAGGAATCCAACCTGCCTCTTTAAAAACTCCACTACTACCTGCCCATCCAATGATGTGATTACAAGCTACATAGCCTACAGTCCTTGCAGGTAAAAAAAAAATGTTTTACTAAAATAGTGCACCTGTGACCACAAGGAGGTTGCACAGTCCTGGAGAACTACCCAGTAAGTGAAATGGTTAAAGTGTTGAACTTGGATTTGGAAGACCCAAGTTCAAGTTCTCACCACACCATATAGCTCCTTGGCTTGAGCTAAGCTCTTCAAGAAAAAAAGAGCAAGCTATACATGCAATAAACAAATAATAAATAGTTGGAAGCCAAATGATTGCACCAAGAGTGTTGCGAGGGGAAGAGAGATGGATGTAGCTATTTTATATGATTTCATTTCCTCCTATAACAGAAAGATCAACTCTTGACCATAGAATAAATATATATATATACACACACACACACACACACACACTTGAAGATGGATACCGTTTGGCTCTTTTCCTGCTGCTCACTGGAAAGCTTAAAAATGAAGAAAGATACCAAGTGAGGATTAAACAAAAGGGGATGGAGCAATTGTGATTGCAAGAGAATCCTTTGGCTCAAGGATTGGGTTTTGTGCAGCACATCAAAACCCACATTCAAAAAATGGGTAGGATTACTTTTATTCTTTACTTGACTTCATACTTTATTGTATTATTTTCATTTTATTATATTTTAGGGTAAGTTATAATAGCACTGTTTTTTAAAAAAGCTGCAGCTAGAGGGCAGTATGATAGTAAGACTGTTTCATGGCCTCTATAAACTTAAAACAGTTTTTTAAAAAATTTTCTTCTTAAAAGCAAGTTGTACGAAGTGGGTGTGAAACAGCATCATGCTGTTATGGCCTTCTACTAAAGAACTAAATGCTGCAGATACTTTTCTCCTTTTGTGAAGCAGCAGAGAAAATACAGCTTCAACAGGTGTGGGTGATGAGGTAGGAAAGGCAGTGAAGGAGGCTGGGGAGAATGGGTGGGTGGGCAGGCGGACAGCAGATGGGCTGGGATTGATGGGGGTGGGTAGGTAGGGGGGAGCATAAGGTGGCAGAAAAGTAGAAAAGCCAAGAGGATAGGCAGAGAGAAGAGATGTGGAGGGTGATAAGCAGATAGAGAGTAGCCACAAGAGTAGAACTAGAGAAAAGGAGAAAAAGGCAGAGTTTGGTGGAAAAAACCAACCACCGAGAAAATACAGTGGGCACAGCGGGAGGGGTATCCTGCCAGGTGGCAAAAGGCCACATGTCTTCACTCGCGTCTTTGAACAAGGAGCTGCAGCTGTGCTACAGGTATCTATCTGAATTGAACCTCAGGGAGCTACAGTCTCCAAGGCCAAACAAATAAGCAAAGCAACAGGAGAAGGAGAAAACAGTATAGTCAATGGCAGATGGAAGGCCCAGAACTAAGACAAGGCAAAATCTTCATTGCTTAGGTTCTGGATAGCAGCTGGGGAGAGGATTAAGTTAAGTTGCACCCTAAGCTGTCCAAAGCTGCTTCTAGAGTTTTAAATTAATTTTGCTAAAATGGTAAAATACAAAACAAGAGTCCATATTAAATAGTGATTATACAGTGAAGAAAAAAAATATAGTAATTAAAATGAGCTAAACATAAAAACCCTAATTAACAGACATGTCCATATAGTAAATATGAATAGCTGTATCAAATTAATTCGGTTAATCTTATCTTTAAATTTA